TTTTGCTAGATGATTTTATGAGCTTACACGATTATTCTGGAATTCGGGTTAAGACAATTGATTATCTTATGATGAATGAAGAAACGGGTGGAAGAAGGAGATTGATGATAATAATGTTGGTGGTGGAATATGATTCGTCAAACATAAATAATATATAAAAAATTGTTGAGGAACTTAACGAAGAAAGTTGTGGAGTGTTTCATTGGCACTTTCTAACCAAGTTAGGTCACCCATAATGTACAAATTAATATTTGCGTGGCTACGAAGGACAAAGTCACAATCCGGTTAAATCTGATTTTACATGTTTACTTTGGTTTATTTTGTACTCGGCATAAACCAAATTTAACCAATCAAACGAAGCCATCTTCAGTTTTGTCTATCCATTCATGATGATACAACCGATCTTAACTCTATTTTTTAATAATATCGTTTCTTGATTATTTAAGAAAACAATGTAAATGTTGTCTGGAACAAAAATTATTGTAACTCCTTTTTTTTTTCAACTAAATTATTGTAACTTTATATAGATAATTCTGAGAATGTGAATGTGAATGATATAGATATGTGTTCAAATTAACTAGAATTTCTAAACATTTGGACAAGTTGCAATTTATTTAAAGAGGGGGCTAAAAATAGTTTGGATTGCAATACAAAAAATACGATGCTATAAATTCTTATAAAAATAATTTTGTTTCTCACAGACTAGTATTGGTCCCCGACGGCCAGACCAGTCTCCTAAGGGGAAAGGTTATGGCAAACTCATTAACACGACGACACATGTATTTAATAATTACATATTATTATTAACAATTAATAAGACTTGAGGTGTCAACATTGGAAAATTCATGACTCATGATTAAAAAGATCCACCAATGATTTTTTTTTTTTTGGTTCAACAAGGACCTAATATTTTCAAAGTAAGGACGAGAAGACAAATTAGTAATTGAATTGACCCGATATTTTAATTTAGTGATTTAGGCGATCTTCCAATAATCAGACGTCATGGTTATATTTTGGTTTTGTTTTCTTTGATTAATTTTATCGAATTTAAAAACGTTATCACGATTGTTTTCTGGAGCGTGTGTCTGTTATACGACGCGTAATCATATCCAAATAATCACATTATATGACAAAAAGATATAACGTGGAAAAAAGGTCAGATTCAAAGACCAGATTTTACTAGATTTTTCTTAATTATTATCTTCGGACGAAAGGTGACTATGACGAATAAGCCCATTGCGATATAGATACGAGACAAATTAATTGTTTGCGAATAAATCTACTTCTCTTCAAAAATTGTGGTGCTTTGCATTTTATTTAATTTAAATACGGTAACATATTAATATACCACAATCTAATAGTAGTGCTAGTCGATTACCTTTTTAAGCTTTAACTAAATTTTGGATTTTTAGGTTAATTATAAGAGACCAATTGTTTGTGAATTATAGACAATTTTATTTCTTTTCATCAAGACATTTATATTTGAAAAAATTTCACGTTTATTTTTACATGTTAGCTGGACGCAAAATTATAGATAAAATGTTAGTATATTTATTCAGATACAAAAAAATGAAGAATTTTTCGACGATAAGTATAAGATAATTTAATTAAGTGGTGGTGGTTTAATGATAAAAAGGGTTAGAAAAATGAGTAAATTTTTCCAACTTGAATTCGATTCATTTTAGTAATACGTTCATTTTTATTTGGCTAATCGAAATGATGCCACATTCTAAATCCATTAGAAAATCCGGTGGATAGGCTATTCGATGGTTACACTCATTTTAAAGAATTAAGTCGGGTCGTAAAACACGGATCACTTCTGATTATAAAAATAAAGAATATAAGATCAACATTGACTATGAAAAGAGGTGGAGGTAAAGAAACCAATAAAAAGTAAGTGAAAAAGAGGTGGAAGAATAAAGACGAAAGGGTAAAATGATGTCATATTATAAACTAAAATTTTGGTACATACTAAAATAAAGGGGAGTAAATGATGATAACAATTAAAAAAAACGGTATGGCCCCAATTTGTAATACCTTTTTAGATGGTTTAGATGATTGGAAGACGATTAAAAAATTAGGTTTGGACTAATTAAACCTG